CAGCACTTCCGGTCTTATGAAGAAGTAAAAAATTGGATCGATTCGTGGATAGCCTCAAAAGATGACCAGTTTTTTCGACGCGGGATTCGTACGCTACCCGAAAGATGGAAGAAAGTAGTGGCCAGCGATGGACAATACTTTGAATCATAAATGTATAACCAGTTTTTTACAATAAAGCCTCGAATTTCAGAAAAAAACGGCGGAAACAAAGTTGTACACCTAATAATTTAGCAGAAACGCCGCTGTCTCATATTAGACGCCTATCTTATAATATGGTAGAGGGCTTTTAATAATTTCATCTAGAGGCCATGCCGATGATTGTTTAACCGAGATTCAATTTATTTCTCTTTTCAATTCTAAAATTGAAAAAAGACAATGAATAAAGACAATGAACCTCGGTTAAGAATTAACCGTGAGTTGTGGACTGGGCCTAAATGTCATATACAAGTGTTGAGAGTAAATCGATTAGAGTAAAGCGATTGAATATAATTATCAAATTTGATGTATAGTTTCTATAAGCGCAAATTCCTAGAATGTTATATGGACATTATTTAAAAAAATAAAATAAAATAATGTTATTATTATAATAATATAATATTTCAAAAATATCATATATTTTTTAATATTACAAGAATATTCTTTATAGAATACTCTTTATAGAAATATGTCCACTTAGATAATACTCTAAATATTATATGTATATCTTAATATCTCTGAAATATTAAAATATTTATAAATATTAATTATTTTTAATTTAATGCAATTTGATTTCACAACCCAGTAGCAAAAAGTTCTTCTATGTTCATCAGTCTATGTTGCATTTTGTGCTAAAAAAAACATTTCGACGTGATTTTATATATATATTTATATACTGCGCGTCAAAATCATTTTCAGTCTTTAACATATACTTATACTGAACATGTAGCAGTTTTACAAATTACAGTAAATGTAGTATTATAATTTATTATAATACTTTTTAATGTTTATACAATATTATGGTATAATAACGTTAAATAACGTTACTTTTAATAATTATATAATATTATCAGGAATGAATATACATTATATATAACCTTCTATTAATATTTCAAGAATATTATTTAATATTAGGACAATATCATATAATTTCAGTAAAATATTCTTAGAACGTTATATTTAATATTCTAAGAATATGCCTAAAATAATTGGGTCCAGAAAAAATTTTTTTCGTATTTTTTAATTCAAAATTGTATATACAATATCTTCGTAAAAATTTAAATTTAAATTTAGAAAAAAGATTTTAAAGCTTCTCTACTTTCGAAAGGTTACTATATTTTTTGAGTTTCTGAATTTGGTAATTTTTACATTTAAAAAACTACGAAAAAGATGAAAAATTTTCTTTCACTTTAAAGGTCCCCCACGTGTCCAAAAAAATTTGCGAAAATTTTCGATTACCTATTATGAAAGCTTAAACCTTTCTTTACATTTCATTTTTTTTTTAATTTCCTATGATTTTTTGTTATTAAGTTCGCGAATTAAGTAAAGGAACATTCTAACTTTGATTGCTCATGATTCCAATAAAAATCATCATACCGCAATTTAAAAAACAAATTCTTAAAGCTGAAACTTTACTCTAACGAATGATATGATTGTAACGAAAATTTTGCAATAAATGAAAAACTTTTGCAAAAAAATTTTTTTTAATAATTTTTTTCGAAGAAATTTTTTCCCCGACCTAATTATTAATATTAAATTTAATATTAAATAATATTATGCGCTTATAAGAATATGGTATGGTATATATAAGATATATATATAAGAGTATGGTGTATGCACTAAACTACTTATAAACGCATAATATTATTTGATATTAAGTAAGTTTTAGACATATTCTTAAAATATTAAATGTAATATTTTAAGAATATTGTACTAAAACTATATAATATTAAGTAATATTCTTGAAATATTAATGAACTATTATATGTCCATTCCTGATAATATTGCATGATTATTAAAAGTAATATTATTTAATGGTACTGTAATATTGTATAAACATTAAAAAGTATTATAACAAAATTTACTTTAATTTGTAAAACTGTTACAATTGTTTAGTATAAGTATACATTTAAAGAACTGAAAATAATTTTGGCGCGCAATTGTAGAACCGGATACTTAAAATCATGCGAAAACGTTTTTTCAGCATAAGATGCAACATAAACTGGTACAAACTTTTCGTTACTGGATAGTGAATTCAAATTGCACTAAATTAAGAATAATTAATATTTATAAATATTTTAATAATATTTCAGAGATATTAAGATATAATACCTAGGATATTATATAAATGGATATATAACCTCTAGAATACTCTCATAAAATTAAAAAATATTATGTGGTATTTTCGAAATATTATAATAACTTATTTTAATTTTTTAATAATAATCATATAACATTCTAGGAATATTTTGCTTATAGGGTATTTACCGGATTTGGTGATCCATCAACCAACTGATACCCAACATTTATGATCAACACTCAAACGATATTCAATATTGAATATCTACATCAAGGCAACACCGAATATTCATGATCACATTCAACTGACACTCAACTGACACTCAACAATGATGCTCAAATTTCAACTGACACCAATGTTCAACTTTGGTCAAATTTGAGTGTTAACCCAAAATTGAAGGTTTACTAATACATCTTATTGTCGAATTAAAAAATTACTTAGTCACTCGTGCAATATCCTATATATATGTATATATTTTTATATTATAATAAATTGTATTTATACCATTAAAGATCGACAGAAGTGACAAGTCAACTAATTTACACTTCATTTGTGATGCAGCTACATATCTCCACTGTATCAGACTTTACCATATTGACGACTGCGAGTAGAAGAGTAACAAGTTTCATTTATCTTATGAAAAATAGTATATTACATGCTTCCGCGAAAAGAAGCATTTCAATTTAATTGATAAATATTATCACGTTTCGCTACTAAAACTAATACGTTTCAGCGCTTAGTTGCGAAAGTAATATATTTCGCTTTATACCGTGAAAACTAATATGTTTGAACGTTTTATTACGAAGAGTAGCACGTTTTCCTTTAAAATTATAAATTAACACGTTTGAAAAATAATTAACTGCTAATTCGTTTGCTAATGAATTCATTGATTCGTTTGTTCTTTTTTTCTTTTATCCATTCATACATTCGCTCATAGTTCCGTTTGTTCATTCATTGAATTTCATCTTTATAATCTTATGGATTCACAAATTTTAATTTTTTATTTTCCGTACGTATGTTAGCTTAACATTGTAAAAATGGACTAAAAATAAAATTATAATAAAAATTAAATTATAATAAAAATTAAATTATAATAAAAACTAAAAAACAATGAAGTATTCATTTTACTATTTGGAATCAAAAATAAAATCACTAGTATGATTTTTACTTCTAATCTTTGACAGTCATCGAAATTCTCGAAGGATAGTCCACAACCTTATTATTTTTCGCGGTATAAAGTGAAACAGACTACTTTTCGTAGTCAAACTATCAAATATATTAGTTTTCGCGATATAAAATGAAATATGTTACTTTTCGCGGCTAAAGCCGTTAAACGTTGGAACGTATTAAGTCTGTTCTACAATGTGTTTTTTGTTTCCAATTTCTTGCTTTTTGTTACTTTTTATCTTGTCTTTTTGCTTCTTTTTTGTTTTATATCGCCTGAAATAAGAGTTAACAAATTTCGAAACAAGAAATACGTAGAAAGAAATACAATTGTCGATAAAACGGTTGCAAAGGAATTAAAAGCAAAAGAAAAAACAAAACAGGAAACAAGAGCACATTATAGAATAGATTTTAGTTTTCGTGATATAAAAAGAAATAAAATATACTACTTTTCGTCACAAAACGCTCAAACATATTATTCGTGATATAAAATGAAATGTGCTACTTTTCGAAACTTAAATGTATTGATTTTCGCGGAAACATGACGTTCTTCGATGCAACGACATAATCATAAGTGGAATTTTTTGTAGGACAATGAAACATATTACTCTTCGTAGTAGGCGTCGATATATTGTTTCGCAAAAGAAATATTTTGCCATGAAACTCGTTTTAATCCGGGAAATGATAACACAAAAATCTTCATTTGTTACCGCTTGAAACCGTCATTAATTCATCATTTATTAGGTAAACATGAAGGAAATGCAAGTATGGCAGACCTTCTTTTAAAATTAATGACGTATGAAGTTATAAACAATTTTTTGCTTTCTTCCTAATATGTTACCTGCTAACGTTTGTTTTTAGTGTTAATACTTGTAATAATGACGTAAACTGGTAATAGTTTACATCATTATTACATCAAAAAAACCAAGGTGCTACACCATTTCTGTGGATCGAAAAGACCACCAAACTAAGCTAAAGTGATAAATTTTTTAGTTAAAAAAAATGATTTGTTACCGGCTGTTTTTTTGTGCATTATCTATTTTCATTACGAAACATACACAAATGCATATGCCATATTATTTGAATGGGCCAAAAGGGTCCCTATGTTCGTTCTAACGTGTCGAATTTTAAACTAAAATGTCACGATTTATTATTGTACTAAT